AACTACATGTGACACTTTGTGCTGAATATTATACAGTTTATCATCTCTCGCTCAAATCTTTGTCGATCAGTGATTATCATTTAATCAGCCCGGTAAAAAATCCGATAAAAAAAAACAAAAAATTTTAAATTTAAATCGGGTCACTGGTTTAAGGGTCTAAAAATTAATTCTTTACTATTATTTATTATCACATATTTGATTACATCTACGCTTCAAGTGTCTTATAATACAATTGCTGATTTTAATTAAAATAAATTAAATCATGGTTTATCGTTATATGAAATCGTTATATGAAATATGAGTAATATTTGACTGACTAAAGTTGCAACTTCAGGTGACTAAAGTTATAACTTCAGGTAGTGCAACTTCAGTCCGATGCCAACTTCAGTCACGACATTAACGTGAAATTACTAGAAAGTTGAAGGCAAAATCGAGTTACTAGGATTTTTTGGTATAATCGGACAGTTAATTGACATCAGTGGCGCAACCTGTCACAGATTACGGACGTGCTAATTTATAAATAATTTTATATGTGTGCAAAAGACACGTGTATATAAAGATTTTAACCTTCTACGTAATTTATATCGATTGTAAAATAACATACATTAATTACACTTAAAATAAATCGAAAAATTACACAGAACATATGTATGTTTCGATCTTCATAGAGCAGTACTGTACGTGCTTCACGTTACCTCAGCTAGGTATTTAATTCTGCTCACTTATCACTGCAGCACAAGATGTAATCAGAATTAAGATAAATTAAATTATAATATTAAAGATCAATTTTAGTATTTAATAAGTTATTTTCAATTTTTGTAATCAGTCATAATGTTTAAAAATATTTAGAAGTTTCACAAATTCTTAATGAGAATTTGTAGCCTTGTGTACCATACATACATACATATGTACATGCATGGCTTGCTCTGCGTTTCAATCCGTACGCACTTCTTTACTGTTACGTACTTAAATACCAAAATGTAAGTATAAAATTTAATACATATTTATTAAGTTAAAATCTTGCAATGAATTATTGCAAATAATGTTTTAAACAATTACATATATCAATTACATATATCAATTACAGGAGGTGGTAAAAGTTTGAAAATATTTATCAATCGAAATTATACAATTAAATAGTGTTAAATAATATTCTACTCGATTATATCAATTGCATTAACTATCAGTGAGTGAGTGTAAAGTTCGAACGTGTATTTTATTTGTTAAATCAGAATTATACTGAGTTGGTACTAAATGAAATATTGCTCGATTATATAAACTATTAGCCAGTAAGTATGAGGTTAGATTACATAAATTAATGAATTAATACTAAATAATGATACTTAAAATGATAATATAAAATTAGGAAGTAAGTATAAAGTTCGATTATATATATATATTTGTTTGTTAAATCATAATATAATAATAAATTAGAGCTAAATAATATTTAAATAATTATATATTTAGACAGTAAGCATAAGGTCTGATTTATTTGTGAAATCATAATTCAATAATGAATTAAAGCTGATAATATTTTAAATAATATTTCAAACGATTATATAAATTGCGCCAAGATCGTAAGTATAAAAGTTCGATTTATTTGTGAAATCATAATTCAACAATGGTATAAATTACGCCAAGATTGTGAGTATAAAGCTCATTATATATATTCATATGTTAAATCATAATTAAAGCTAACTAATACTTTAAATAATTATATAAATTGCATTGATTACCAGGTTGTGAGTACTTGTAAAATCAGAGTTCTATAATGAATTAGAGTAATATCTCATAAATTGATTAATTGCCAGGAAGTAAGTATGAAGTTCAATTACGTACATTCATTTATTAATTATGATTCAAAAATAATTTTAATTAAAAATAATTCAAATGATCAAATTCAATTACCAGAAAGTAAGTATAAAATTCTATTACATATTTATTTGTTACATTATGATTCAACAATGGATATTACTAAATAATATCTTAAATCATTATATAAATTACATTAATTACCAGAATGTGAGTATAAAATTCGATTTTGAATACTTATTTGTTAAATCAGGATTTAACAATCAATAAATAATATTTCAAACAAATAATATTTCAAACTATTGCATAAATTACCATATGTCTATTATTAGCACGTAAGCATATTAATTTGATAAATTAGAATGTGATAATGAATTAATGCTAAATAATATTTCAAATATTATATAAATAATTACATCACTAACAGTATACAGTTGTTGTTATTTAGGCTAAATAATTTTTTTAAACATTTATATAAATTTTATCAATTATCAGATTGTAAGTATAGTCTTTGATTACGTAATTTGTTAAGTCAGAATTCCACAATTACTGGTAGTTAAATAATATTTTAAATATCAAATACCAGAATGTGAGTATAAAGGTTATTTACGTGTATTCGTTTTTATTAGAGCTAAATAATACAATCGATTATATTAATTACATCAACTATTAGCGAGTAAGATTAAGTTCGATTATTGTTAAATCATGAATTAGTGCCAAATTATATTTCAAATGATTATATAAATTACATGAATTACTAGGGAGTAAGTATAAGTTCAATTATATACCGTAGAGCACGACAATAATTCAGCAATGGATTAAAACTAAATAATATTTTAAATTTTATACTATAAACTACTAGATTGTGTGTATAAATTTCGATTGCGATGTGCATTCATTGTTAGATTTTACGATTTATTGGTGTTGTTGAATATATTTCAAACGATTATATGAATTACGTTAATTATCAGGGAGTAAGTGTAAAGTTCGATCACGTATATTTACTTGATAAATAGAATTTGACAATAAATTAGAGCTAAATAATATTTCAACCCGTTATGCAAATTACATCAACTACCAGCAAGTATGAAGTTTGATTACGTATATTCATCAAAGAATTTTACGATTAATTAATGTAAAATAAAATTTAATCATATATGAATTATGTAAATTATCAGAAGGTTAGTACAAAACTTTATTTCATTATGAGTTTGTGCTTCAATCGATTACTGAACATAAATTACATCTATTATCAGCCGGTAAGTATGAAATCAGATTTATTGTTAAATAATATTTCAAATGATTATATAAATTACATCAACACCAGTTGGTAAGTACAAAGTCCAGTCACATAAATTTGTTAAATTAAAATTTTACAATACATTGGTGCTCAATTAAATGATTATATAAATTACATTAACTACACCGTACCAGCGAGTAAGTGTAAAAGTTTGATTACGTTTAATAAATTTAACCATAAATTAAAGCTAAAAAATATTTCACATGATCGCATGATCACATCAACCACTAGTCTGTGAGTACAAAATTTGATTACATATGGGTTCCGCCGGAAGAAAACAAACCTGCTGGCTTTGAATTTATCACTTTATAGGACTAGGTTCCCGAAAAGCTCATTAGCATAATTAAAGGCAGTACCCGTGCTTATAATTACATACGGTATTATAAATTCAAAGCCAGTAGTTTGTTTTCTTCTGACGGCACCGTATATTCGTTTGTTAAATAAAATTTTACTATGAATTTGTGATAAATAATATTATTTTAACCGACTATAAAATTACATCAACTACCAGCGAGTAAGTATAAAGTTCGATTACATATATTTGTTGTTAAAATCAAAATGAATTAAAGATAGATAATGTTTCAAACTATTATTAGCGAGTAAGTATTAAATTCTATTACGCATACTAATTTTATAAATTAAAATTCAGCAATTATTCATAATAACTTCATAAATTACATAAACTGCTAGAATGTGAGCATAAAGTTCGGCTAGTACATTCATCTATTAGAATTTTACAATTGGACTAAAAATATTTAAAACGATAACATCACTTCAACTACTAGCGAGTAAGTATATTAACTTGTTAAAAGTAATGTAATTTAATAATGAATTAGTGCTAAATAATGGTTTAAATAATTTTATAACCGATTACATCAACTACCAGGGAGTAAGTAAAATTTTATTAAATCAGAATTTAATTATTAATTAGAACTAAATTACCAATCATAAATTATTTCAGATTGTGAGTATAAAGTTTAATTGCATACATTCACTGTTAAATGAATTAGTTTTAATAATATTTTGTATAATTTCATAAATTCCATTATCAACTACCAGAATGTGTGTATAAAGTTCGTTTCGTATATTATTTTGTTTAGAACTGAATATAATTTTAACGGATTATAACAAATTATATAAATTACATCAACTAATAGGAAGTGAGTACAAAATTCCATTACTTCTATAGTTAAATAAGAATTTCACAATAATTAGTGCTAAATAATGTTCAACGATTATATCAACTACCAGCGAGTACGTATAAAGTTCTGTTATGTAGTGTCGTTTTAAATCAGAATTTTACAATAAGTTAGAGCTAAGTGATAATTTAAACAATTATATAAATTGCATCATAAATTATTAGAATGTAAGTACAAAGTTCAATTCTATATATTCATATGTTAAATCAACATTTCACAATAAATTAAAATAACCATCTAATTTACAACAGTAAGTGTAAAGTTCGCTTACGTGGTTCATTTGTCAATCTGAATTTGACAATGCTAATAATATTGCTTATATAAACTACCAGGAAGTACGTAAAAACTGGTTGCATATATTCGTTTATTAAATAATGATTCTATAAAGAAAAGCCACGATTTACGGACCGTTAATTTTTTTTTTTTTTTTGAAATTTGGCCCTAAATTGCCCAGCCCTGTTATTGAGGTTTCGGGAAACGAGCAAATTCTTCAAGTGACCCTGTAATATGAAAATGCTTCTGGTTAACCGACATCAGGGTATTTCTTTATTTTTTGAGCTGTGATATAACTAGAGTGACGTGTATAAATTATTTTAATATATTGATATTTCAATATAATTTTACAATATTAATTTTCATTTTTAAATCTAAAAACTTATAAGTAGTTTTTAAGTTTATAATATTTATTATTACAAGAAGAAATCATATTTAACTAATACAGAAACTACAACAATCAATAATAACATAGAATTATAAAAATTGATTTTTTCTTGTTTACACTCAATTCTAATTTGATTTTTTTCCAACTTAATCTGCTTATTTTCAATTTTGATTCGGTCATTGTTAATTTTATGTATGAGCTTCTCTTGACGTTTGAGTATCTCAATTATCTCATCTACCTTTTCATCTATCCTATAAATATTTTCCTTGACAGAATTATCTTTCAATATTTTAGACAAGTATTCGGGAATATCCTGACACAGATCATATAAGTTCGTCAATAGTAAATGATATTCAGATGATTTGGCTCTTCCTATAGCACCGCTCGAATAACCATCCTTTGCAGACGTAACATAAATTCCGATTGTTGTTTGTTTATCGAATCTTGATATAACACTTTCAAAATCTCGGATATAATCAACTTCAACTTTGTTAGTAAAATCTTTGCATTGAAATAATAGTAAGTAATGATTATGATTGCCGAACATATCCATGCCACCATCACCTCTTGATAACCTATAAAAAAAAATAACTGTAAGTAATTGTCATCATCATCGTCAAGGAACATGCACTGGAGCCAATACAGTCATTTATCCATGCATCCTATTCACCACAGACGCAGGTGCAGCTTTTCGGATAACAGATAAAACAGAGAAGGACGTTCACAAGCAATTATTACTTGGCTCTTGTAACATCCCCTGTGGCCACGACGTGCTTCCAGTTCTCTGCCTATCATATCATCCTAGTGGCAGCGTAACTTTAGATGCATAACAACTAAATGATCACTTAGTGATATAATTATCTCACCTCACCCTTTGGCAGTCAATCTTTATTTTATTTTTAACCAATCTAAAAACT